GCACCGCGCCGGGCATTGTGGGAAACTCCGCGCTCCGCCCCCTCCCGACCAATCACAGGCCGCCCCCCCAGCTCCCGCCGCGGCCCCTCCCCTGGCTTCTCCCCAAACCTGGAGCAAAGGCCATGCTGAACCTGCGCTCTTCTCCCGGCGGCTTGCTGCTGGGGCGGAGAGCGAGAGGAGGGGGCGCGGTGGGCGTCTGGGAGGAAGCGCCCGGACTTAGAGCGCGCAAGGGCGGGCCCGGGAGGTGTTCGCGCCCATGCCGTCCCCAGTCCGAAACCACGAGCAGCATTGTCTCCCTCGCTGTTTTTGGGGTGCAGGGCTGGGGCCAGGCAGACTCCGCCAGATGTGTGAAACCTTTGGGAGTTGTAACCAGAGTGCGATCGGTGGCAACCTTAGAGAGAATTTGTTCGCGGGGGAGAGGGCGCCAAGTTTAGGCGTCTGCTGCTTCTCAGCAGAAGAGTGACACTTCTTTATTCCCTATCGCCCCACGTCCGGTGCCTTCCAAACGCAGAGCCGGCACTCTCTTAACAGTTGTTAATTTGATTGAATCGGATCACAGGGTCCTCGATGAAGCGGAAAGGAGGACAGCATCCAGGAGCAGAAGTCGGCGCCAGCCCCGCTCTCTGCTGCGCTTTGCGCCAGGAGGGGAGGAGGGGCGCGCCGCAGAGGGGCTGCCAGGCCCTTGGAACCCTAGCCGAAAGAAACCTGAGCTGCAATCTGGGCAGAATCTAACTGCACGCCGAACCCCGCGGTTTTACCGAAAACTGAACGTTGTGCTGCAAAACGTTTAAAACAGATCATTTTCTAAATTCAGTTTCCATCCAAGAAATAGCTGCTGTCACCAAAAACGTGAAAAAATCTATGCTCCAAAGTAGGTGCTCATGACCGAACTATATTCGTATATTTATGTGGTGAGGAACCTAACCACTAGAGTTTCAAGTTGGCTGTCGTACAACCCGGTAAAGGTTACCGGATTTCTTTTCTTCTACTTTCTTACGACAAAAATTAGGAAATTGAGCGAGATAGCTCAAACCTCTTCCTAATCCCCCATTCTGAAATTCCCCTTGAGGGCACATCATCGTCCTAAGACAAAGGTAAAGGAATTTCTGGATAGGTGTGAGGCAAAGTAATAAAGATAAAATCTAGCAGTTAAGAAGCCCTTGATTTGCACATCCACCTCTTCCCGTTTTCACAGTCCCCTCCAGTGTGAGTAACTTGCTCAGGCACGGGCGACCTCAAGGCAGCAAAACCAGGTACCACACTAAGGCCACTTGGTGATGGCTCTTTGAACTCCCTAGGGAGCAGTGCACCTCGACTTCAGAAGGGACCCTTAGCTACTTTGACAGAAAACCATCAAAAGCATCCCGTGTATCCTCAAGGCCATCAAGTGTCATTCCAGACACTTCTCCATACCATTGCCCAGAGTGACTGTCACCTTTCCATTTAAAAATATTCCTATTGAGTCATATTGTTATTAAAATTAAAATAACTTCTTAATTGATCTTTCAAGGAAGTATAACCACGCTGGAGCTGACTTTACTTCCTCTTCCTGCAGCTAAGACAGTGCAACTCTGGGCTATCCAATATGCAATCTCACTTGCTCTCTGGTCTCTCCAATTCCATCTTAACTTCTGTGGATCTGCTCTCTTCTTCCTTGCTTCTCCAGAGTTGCAGATTCTCAGGTTAGTTTAAACTTATAGAAAATGAAGATACAGGCCGGGGATTTAGCTCAGTGATTTCAGCACCTGCCTCGCAAGTGCAAGGACCCAAGTTCGATCCCCAGTACCAAAAAAATAAATAAATAAAATAGAAAAAGAAGATACAGTGGTAGCCTGTCAAATCAGAATAGAGAAAAATCTTTCCAGCTCTGCCAACAGGGTTTTTCCTATGGGCAATCTCTAAATTAGATTTAACTAAAAATAGAATTATTATATTCCAGGGGCAAATAGGTCCTTTAGATCACCCAGTCAGGCTTCCATGCATGCTTGGAACTTCTACAGCATTCCTTTACAGAACTGATTTTAAGCTTAGACAACTGAGGTTGCAAAGGAGTCAATCTCTCTGAGACAACCCTTTCATTTTCAATAGGCTCTGTTGTTGCGTTCTCCACATTTTTCATCCTTATTCCTCACTCTAACTGCTGATACACATGCACAAATAATGTAATCTCCCATGTTTCTGTACTTTATTAGCTGACCTGAGGCCAAATTGAAGGAACTAACATTTATTTCGTTAAATTTATTCTTGTTTTGTTCCAGCATCATTTACTCATGCAAATGTCTTTGGATCTGAAGTCTACCATTCATTGCATTCACTGTCCTGATTGTTTACTTATCAAAAGCATATCCAAAGTAAAATATACTCAATGATGTCATTGATAAATTTCATCTTGAAAAGCATAAGGTTGTGGCTAGAATGTGTAATGTATACCTAGGTATCTCAATACAGGTTAACAGTTATTTGTTTCACAGGCAACTTCTAAATGTCCACACAGGATACACACTGTTGTAGACACTAGAAGAAAATAAAAACAACAACCTTGCTTTCTTGGTGTTAAACTTCTCCATTAATCAGTAACTTTTCTGTATAGTTAAGAGCCATAGTCCTTGTGAACACATATTTCTTTATTTGTGTACAAAGTTTAGTGAGAGACTATGTTCAATATTCTATTTCTGTTGTATGTCCCTAAATTAGCAGGAAAAAAACCTTATCAAAGTAAATAAGGGTGGGGCCAGGGATTTAGCTCAGTGGTTCTGCCGCCTGCCTTACAAGCTCAAGGTCCAGAGTTCGATCCCCAGTACTGAAAAATAAATAAATAAATAAGCAAAAAAAGTAAATGACACTGATCTAATGTGACTCTTTAATTTACCCATCCTAATTTTAGAGTGATCATATGTTGACCTTTTCAACATATTACAAAAATTTCTTGAGCCTCTTCTACATGAACGTTAAGCCAGGATTGAAAGCTGAATACAGCTCTACAGTTTCTCTGAAGGAATTTGCCACTTAATTGTAATAAATAAAAATCACTTCTTTCTTTTTTCTTTTGAAGTAATGAAAGTTTTATAAGCACCATGATCTTTTTAGACACAGAAATGTACAGGGTAAAATGCTCTCTGTCCCAAACCACCATGAAGTCAACTGTGACTACATGACCTGATTCTCAACATTGAGCTCAAAGCCAAATAATCAGATGGGGCTTCTGGGGAAGTATTTGATTAGTACATAAAGATAATATGCCCCTTCAGTCCTTTGTTCCTCTTCTTTCTTCATGCTTAGAGAGCAAGTTCAGTACCTAGAGGTGTAATAGCCATCTTGTAACCATGAGGAAAAAACTATTTACTGAGGATGGAAAAAATCAGAAGATGTAATAGGTCTGGGGCCTTGGAGACTTTCATGACCATTTGCTAACCCAGAACAGCTCATTTGTCTACAACTAAACTTTTTATTATGTGAGACAATTAAACTTTAACCTGTTTAAATCACTGTTGATTTAATTTATTTTTACTTGCTTGCAGCCCAAACTATTCTTGTTGATTATACAAATAAATTTTAAGAAATATTAAATATATCGATTGAAGTATTATTCACAATAACCTATATCAAATAGAGTAGCTGGTATATCATCACACAAAGTTTTATTTTTGTGAATAATTTTCAAAGTTAACTATAAAAGTAGCAAAATTACTCTTTAAGTAAATGTTCCCACTTCTAGAAATTTATTTTTTTAAAAAAAATACCAAGTAAACAAGATTCTAAGTAAAGGAAAATATTTGTTATACAATTACTTTCTAATGATAAGCTAAACAAAAGGACCTAATAAATCAATAATAAGAAACTAATTTAGTTTTTCCAAGTCCATTGAAGGACCTTCACAGCGGTAGTTACAAGTCATGTAGAAAATACAAAAATAACTGATGAGGTGTCAAATGAAAATAATAGCATATAAAATTGAATAACACCATTATAAAAATATAAAATATTTTTATAAAATATAGGTAAACACGGAAAATGAACACACAAATAAAAGCATTGACTTTAAATAATAGCATATAAAATTGAATAACACCATTATAAAAAATATAAAATATTTTTATAAAATATAGGTAAACACGGAAAATGAACACACAAATAAAAGCATTGACTTTATGTATTACTTTTTCAAAATTATTTGTAGTGTTATATTGTTATTGTAAGATATTTCAAGTGATAAAATATCATTTTAATAAATACTATCTTTCAAAAATATTCCTTGTATCTCTACCAGTGACAGTGGTTCAGAACCACTGATCATATAAACAGAGCTATGTATTCAGTTTAAATAAATGATATAAAACATATCAACTAAATATAGGGGTAAATGTTTAATATCAGGAAAATTCATAAGGATTAGATTGGTTCTTGTAGAGAATGAGCATAAAATATAGGATTAAATGCATTAAAGAAATCTCTTTTAGATTTTCCTTGCATGTCGTGGACAATGAAGTTATTTGAATGATT